CATCCCGACTTAGGTTCAATGATCTCCCCCAACTCTCCCCCAATCCTTCTCTCCTTGATTAGTGTAGAATATCACTTAAAACCCAAAAGAATGGAGGCTATTTTTTAGAAAACCTCGACGGTACGAGGGGAATTTTATTGATATCGAAAAAGGGTGCACTAGTCAGGGGGGACATAAACCTAACCCCTCATAATACAAAGAAAAATGATTAAAAAAAATTACATGAAAAGAAGGGGGACATAAACCTTACTCCTCTAGAAACAAAAACAACAAATATATAAGGAAAAGAAGGGGACATGAAAACTATCCCCTCTAAAGCCGAACCTAAACGTCTAAATCTGCAAAACAGAATAAGCAACATCACAAGGTTAAGAAAGAAAAAAAACAAAAAAGTAAGACAAACATGTATGCCAAGATGCACATTAATTTGAGAAACAAAAGCCAGGAAAGCCAACATAGTTTGAAACAAGCAGCATGAACCGCTATCCAAGGGGAATCAAGCCATACCAAAATTGGAGAAGACAAGCCCATGTTAGCAAAATTGTCCACAACCACATTTCCTTCGCGATATATATGAGAGGCATGGAAAGCCATCTTCCGAATGCGGTCCAAACAAATAGACCATTGTGTACGAATAGGCCATGGAGGATCAAAATTAGTGATTGAAGAGTAGAAATAACACTAGAAGAATCAATTTTCAGCCAAAGACAATGTCAACCCCATTAATATGCAACTCTACACTAATAACAAATGCTAATAATTCCACATAAAAAAAGAGTTGTGATGACCAATCCCTTGGCAGAAACCACCAAGAAATTGACCATAACAATCTCGGAAACCTCCTCCACAAGCAGTAGAACCAAGATTTCCTTTAGACAAACCATCTATATTAAGTTTAATCCAAAGGAACCAAGGAGAAGGCCAAAGGACAAGAAGAATAGTTGGCACCTTGCGTGGGATAGGTTGAATCCCCATAGAAGAAATGATACGAGGGTCAAAACCCTGAGGGTAACCAAGAATAAACTTCCCATCATGAACGATCCTATAATTGATATACATGCAAAGATGATGAAAGATTGGACGACTCTAAAAATAAACTTATTTTGAGCTTTCAAATAACCCAAATAGTAGAACGACCCACAAAAATTCAGAGATTGTGCAACTGTTGGTAAAAGGGCTTACGTATGTAGCCATCCCAAAAACAGCCAGGGAATTTAAAAAAAAAGTGAAAGAGATACCAAATTTACTTGCTAACCACATCCAAAGCTACCTAGATATCCGGCACCCGAAGAAAAGATGGAGGCTTCTAATAACCTTAACCATAATTTCTTAACCTTAATTTTAAAATAACGTTGTTTAAACTTTAAACCCCATATATACACACACCATCATCATCACAGAATTGAAATATGTAACATAAAATTCTATATATTTCATTCTCAGTCATTTGGTACTTAAATTAAAACCCTAAAAATTCAGAAAATTATTAAATTGGATTCAAATTGTATTTCGTGACTCTTGCTCTATGCTGATCCAGGGAAATATATAAAATACAAAAAGTTAGGCAGTGAGACTTGATCAGTTTGACTTCCCTATGCAGCCTGTAATTGCAAACAAATGATTTACAAACAACAGTACAAAGGAATTGGAATTTTTTAGGGAAAAAAAAAAAACAACTGACAGATGCTCCATTTTGTCTACTTTTATTTAGCACAAGCCATGCAATAGTGCTGGCTGACTCGTATCTCATTAGCCTCCCACATCCACATATGTGGTATATATCATGGAACATTCGTTGCAAAGGGTACCATAAATCATAGCTTTATGTTGTAAAGTATGATCCGGCTTAAAGAAATTTACATACAAAAATTTCCAATAAGGTAAGATAAAATGTCTTCACTAGTTTGTCACATTTCTTTTTGCCATGTTGTAGTTTCCACATGAGTAATATATGAAATTTAGATGTAATATATGAAATTTAGATTTAATTATTTCAACAACAATTGTGGTTTGTTATGCCCCTATCAAAAGTAGGTATGTCCTATTAACTTGAGGGATTGGGGTGTGCTTAATGTGACTTCATCACGAGGTGATAAAGAATCTTTCACCTCCAATTGACTTATATCTCCATACAACCATTTACTTTAATGCGCTGCTTAGTTACCAGCCCCCTCTACAAGGCTTGACAGTTTAATTATGTACTCTTATTTGAGAGTTACATACTAGACCAAATAATTATTCTTTAGAGTTATGTACTCTTATTGCCACTTAGTACTACGGTTTGGTGCTATTTCTCTTCACTTATGAGTGAGAGGTCTTCGTTTCGATTCTTGACAAAGATGAATTTGAACCACATTATTGTTAGCACATTGTGAGGTTGAGCTCACTCCCTCATCCCCTTAATATAGATAATATCGTTTGTTAAAAAAATGTACTCTTATTTGATTTGAGACTTGAGAGTTAAATGGGTTGTATGATTGAAATAAGAATATTATTCAGATGCTATAGTTTTTCCTAGTTTTGTATAGGATATCTTTCTTGAATGAGAACATAAAAAGTGAAAGGCTTATATGTCCAGAAGTTTCTTAAGATATGGACACCCATATGTAGAGAACTTGATTTTCTACATAGTGGACAATTGTTTTTGCTTTCATACTCGTGTCGTTATATTCATGTACTCGTATTGTGAAATTTAGATTAATTGCCTAAATTCTAGTTAATAAAGTAGGGCAACTTATGTTGTGAGAAATCAAACCCTGCCCTTCCTAACTTCACGTGCTCTAGCCACTCAATGTAATTGATCCACATGCTTAGCCTAGTTTAGCACTGTTCAAATACATTTTTAGCTTAGTTACTCACCGACTTGCTTGTTACATAGCCTTTTTTTTATGGGGATCTCTCATTTTGGATTGCCGAGATAATCTAGGATGGTTAATCCTTGATGCTTTAGGTAATGTACCTTGGGGTTGATGTTATGTACGTATCAATTGATCATGAAACGTTTTCTCCAGAAGAAAAAAATACATATCACTAAGTTTCTTCGAATATTGAATATTGAATAATTGATCATGATTTAGATATTCAAATTTTGATCAATTAAAATATGGTCAACAAACTGAATGGATATTGATTTTTCAATAGGATACAATATGGTTCCTTACATTTAATAAATCATTTCTAATTTAGTGTTTTCATGGAGCCGATTTCATCATGCACCAAAAGGGTGCCTTACGGAAACTAGGGTTTTCACAGAAAGAGAGAGAGAAATGTGTGTCTCCTTATTAATTATTATTATTTATTTTTTTTAACAAACTATAGTATCTACACTTATAGTGAGGTGGTGGGGGAGGATCGAACCTAAGATCTCTCACTTAACGGTGGGCTTGCCAAATAATGTAGTTCAACTTCATATTTGGCGAGAATCGAATCTACGATCTCTCACTTACAAGTGAAGAGCCACTAGACCGTAGTACTAAGTGGCATGTTTCCTTATTATTATTAATTTGTTACGTTGAAAAGGATTCAACCCTTCACTAAATTAACCTATATATGTGTGTGTCTTTTTATTATTGTTCATTTCAATGTAATCGTAATAGTATCCAGCCATTGTATAAATTGACACATTGTTGAGTAATGATATCCGCATACTCTTTCTTTTATTTTTTTATTTTCCTTATTCACATATTTGTTTATTTCTTGGGAGCAGCCTCTCCATAAATGGGGGTAAGGCTAGCCGACATTCACCTCTCCCAGACCCTGCATAAAACGGGAGCCTTGTGCACTGGGTACGACGACGACATATTTGTTTATTTATATTAATCGATTTTTTTTATTGATTCAATCTAAAGATTAGATATAAACAGACGTGTGCACGTGAAGAAAAATAAGTGTGTGAAATCACATACGTTCTAAATGAAATTATTCCATGTTATTTTGGAGACTGTTCAATGAATTATATTGTATTTTTGGAAACACTTTCACTGCATGAACATGATAAAATTTAAGTGAAATTGATTGCATAAATTTTTTCAAACAACAAACTCAAGCATAGACTGGCTAGGTGCAATGATGTGGTATACCACTAATACATGATTAGGTGGCTTAGTGTAGGTTGCAATTTGATGTCACTTCGTACATGGGATTGGGTTAGGGTAAAAAGGAAATACTGAAGGAATGGGGGTATGATATTCTTCCAAGTACTTCCACCACCACCACCACCAAAAGTGACATGTTCTATCTACTTTTGGCTTTTCCAATAATTTGCTTGTCCCTTTGTCTTAATGTAAGAAGAAAGTACCAAGTGGATGGTGTATGCCTTTGGAAAGAATCCAAATACAAGTTTTGGATTTGGAGGCACTTGGGAGGCTCCTCCTTGCAATCTCCCCACTATTAATTACCCACTAAGCAACAAGCAAGTGTGTTGTTTTGTTTTGTTAGGACATGTTTTGGAAGGGCATTGTGTTGGAGAATAGTCCCAAACTTGGCCAGCTCTTATTTCCATCCATTTCACTTGGTGACTAATCTCAAGTGAGAGTGAGAGAGAAACACAGCAATACACCAGACATTTTAGAGATAAAATCGAGAGAGAGCTAGAGAGAGGGGGAGAGGGGGAGGGCACTGTATTTCAGAAATTCCATATTCCTCTGAACGAGCCAAAGGACAAACAAAACTAATCAATGACGACGAAAGGAAGCCCCGTTTGTCGCCAATGCAGAGATGGAACAGCACTTTAAAACAAGAGTTTTTTGCTATTTCACTCACTTTGCAACAAAACTTCACATCACAAACACAAAACCCTTCTGAGTTTTCTTAAACTCCTCGCCCTTGATGGATTAGCTAGGAGGAGGCTCCAGCCAATCACCACCATTTCAGAAACTTTTCTGGACCCAGTGAGGAATTTCCATTTCGTTTGAACTTGGTCGGTTATTTATTGGAGGAACTAACTAGTTACTTTTTCTGGTAATTCCCTTGCTCTGCGTAGTTTATATTTATTACAGATGTAGTTGTTCATTTGTTGTGAATTGTTTTTTATTTTATGCTTTTCTGTGTGGCATATTTGATTTTGTTTAGGGCTTTTTGGTTGATTTGTTGATGAAAAAAAGTAGACATTTAACTCGAAAAATTCCCAAAAACTTACATTGTTGAGTAGTGAAGGAAATATTTTAGCTCACTTGTAATGAGTTCTTTTAGTTTTGTTCACAATGGAATCATTTCCAAGAACAAAAATCAAATTCATATTTTCAATTTTTCATTCTTTTGCTCCCGTTTCTCAGAAACCATCTGTTCAGTTGACCCGATTCGTATCAAATTTACCCGGATTCAAGATTAATTTTAGTTGTGTGCTGTACGTAAACACCGAAGTAAGGTCTGTGAAATTACAGGTCTGGTACTTTTAACCTTGTGAAAGAGGTAGGTCACATGGTCAGGGCAGGTGAGTTCGAGTCCTCGACCCCATGGATTAAAGTAGTTTAGACCATTGTTTGTATTATAGGTATGATACATGGAAATTTCAGCTCGAATCTAAGTGCTTCATTATTTGGAAAACAAATATGCGAAAGAGAAAATATTGAAGTCGAATTTTAATTAATTTATTCCTCAGCTGCTTTCCTTGTGGCCTAATTCTTTCTTTTGTAAAACAGTTCCGGCAATCTAATCTTCTGCATCAGCTGATTGTTTTTGTCGTTAAGTGAAAAAATGGCGCAAGAGGACGGGTCACCAGTAACTTCATCACCCCTGCAGTTCTTTCCCTGGCTATCTCCTGGGATGGGATCTCCATACTCACCATGGCTCCGGGAGCTAAAATCTGAGGAGAGAGGTTTATGTCTGATCCAGCTTCTTTACGCATGTGCTAGCCATGTCACTTCTGGTAGCATTGAGAAATCAAATTTTTGGCTTGACCAGATTTCTCAGCTCGCCTCTCCTGATGGCGATTCAATGCAGAGAATAGCTGCTTATTTCACTGAGGCACTTGCTGACCGGATGCTTAAAGGTTGGCCCGGTCTGCATAAAGCGCTTCATTCAACGAAAATATCATCAGTCTCAGAAGAAATTATTGTTCAAAGGCTGTTCTTTGATCTCTGTCCTTTCCTAAAGGTTGCGTATGTGGTCACAAATCAGGCCATAGTGGAAGCCATGGAAGGGGAGAAGATGGTTCATATTATCGATCTTCATTCATGTGAGCCCGCTCAGTGGATTAATTTGATTCAAACATTGAATGCGCGACCTGAAGGCCCTCCCCATTTGAGAATTACGGGCATTAATGAACAAAAAGAAGTATTAGACCAAATGTTCCTTCAGCTGACAGAAGAAGCCGGAAATCTGAACATCCCATTTCAGTTCAATGCTATAGTAAGCAAGTTAGAGAACCTTGATATCGAAAGTTTGCGTGTCAAGACTGGAGAGGCTCTTGCAATCTGCTCCGTTCTGCAGCTACATTCGTTCTTGGCAAGTGATGATGATCATAGGAGGAAATCACCATTAGCATCTAAGAACCTGCAGAAAGTCTTGCATATGAATAAACTCACTTTGGGAGAGTGGCTGGAGAAAGATCCAATCAGTGCATATAACCTGAGCCCCGATACTGCTTGGTCCCCGCTATCAGGTGCTTCACCAACGGGGAGTTTTTTAACTTCTCTTTGGGGCCTTTCGCCAAAACTAATGGTAATAACCGAGCAAGAGGCAAACCACAATGGCCATACATTGATGGACAGGATCATGGAAGCATTGTACTTCTATGGAGCACTTTTTGATTGCTTAGAGTCTACAGTATCAAGAGCACCAATGGAGCGACAAAAGGTTGAGAAGATGCTTTTCGGAGAGGAAATAAAAAACATCATAGCATGTGAAGGAACTGAGCGCAGGGAGAGGCATGAGAAGCTTGAGAAGTGGGTTCTAAGACTTGAGTTGGCAGGGTTTGGCAAGGTGCCTTTGAGCTACAATGGAATGTTGCAGGCTAGGGGGCTCTTGCGTGGCTATGAAGGGTATAAGATTAAAGAAGAGAATGGATGTGTGTTTATTTGCTGGCATGACAGACCTCTTTTTACGATTTCAGGCTGGAGGTCTAGGAGATAAGAATGATATGTTGGTCGACCATGCGGGGATTGAGTGCTTTTTCTCCTTTTTCTTTCTTATTTCCCTTTTCTTGTTTGTGTAAAGGATTTTATGCATTTCTTCCTATCCAACTGCATAGTGTCTTTCTCAGAAAGGTTTGGAGAATTTGTTTTCTCCTTTTTCTTTCGTTGTTAATATGTATGCTTTTTAGATCTCTATCTATATTAAAACATGGTGTTGTGCCTCTGGCATATTTTCTTTAGGTTGAATCCTGTTCTGTAGATACTTCAATTTTAAACATATTTGGGGTTTTAAGTCAATCATATAGGTATTTTTAATTAGTGAAATATCACACTCCTTGCTATTCAAGATACTTTAAATCAATTTAGTACTACGGTCTATTAATATTCTTCTTCACCAGTAAGTAAGACGTCTTAGTTTTGAATCTCATGAATGTCAAGTTCGTTACCAGTTTATTCTCCACCCCTTAGAGTAAATATACTGTTGTATAAAAAAAAAATATTCTAAACCGACACAGCATGTATTCATGGAAGGCAACACAAACCATAAAAGAAAAGCAACAAAACTATTTCTAGTACATTTACTGACCAAATCTCTCAGCGAGATGATGTGATACAATATCGTTACTCTTTCAGTAGTGCAACACAGACACATTGTACTCAGCAACATGCCAAAAGCATATCCAGTTTTCGTGCTCATCTAGAATGTCTTCGCCAATGCATAGCCCCGTGCATATTGAAAAACTCCACTACCTCCAACGATAGGCATCTGCCGGATGGCTTCCATATATGGATTCCTCCCTCGAATACTAACGGTACTACCATTGTACATACCGTCTAGGAAAGCAAAGTTCAAGACCATAAGTAATACCCAGGGTCATGTTGGGAAGCAAGAGCGGAAATGCCCTGAGCTCTCCCCACAAGCTTTGAACTAGCCTTTGGCCCTTTTGTCAATGGATTGTCTACCGTGAAAGTTGTTCCGAAACCCCCAACTGACTTGTTTGGTGGTTCAACAATTTTCATGGAAGTTGGGTTCTTGCTGTCGTGGATGTTGTGGAAATAGAACTGAAGGCGGGTAGTTTTCTCCATTCGTTTTGCAGATAGGGATAAAAGAGAATGTCGGAGAATGCTCCACGTATGGTAGTCAAGAAGGTTGATAAGATGATGAAGTAGCAGGCAAAAGTGGCAAAACAAGACATTTTGCGTTCAGTTTTCAATTTTATTGCAAGTGTTGCAGATATTTGTTTATAGGATGGAATTGGTATGGAAGTGGGGAATGATGTCTCTTCCTTAGTTAAGAGAGGGTGGATTCTTTGCATTGGTGAAGAAATTATAACCCCGTGCTTGGTTTTCCATCAACAAGAGCGCTGCGTAATTTTTATTTACAAATACATAATAGAAAAGGAACGGGTAAAGAATATAATTCTATGACATCTTCAGCAGAAATTTTTAAGTAAATCGGAACACTTGTCACGTAGTGTACTTTTCTACGTGCTATAGGCAATATGATTAGCTAATATGTCTCTTTTAGGGTATATTAATATATAACAAAACCAAATACACATTTGAATTTGAGTGGAATAGTAACATCATGTGATAGTACTATTTTAGATATATCTATCCATCATGATTGGCGGAGTAGAAAAATGATATTTATGTTAAGTATAAAAGATGCGGGTTCTACCATTGTTAGAACTCTGATGAGTGGTTTTATGTGTCCAAATAACAATGCTCTTCTGCGTTTAAAGAAATTTTAGTGTATTACATTATTAAGCATTACAACGAGTTTTTTTGGCTTGATTCTTGTTATCAATCAATTGAATTGTCCAGTAATTATTGCCAAATCACGAGCATTTCGTTCTTGAGAGTATTGATAGCTTGGATTAGCTTTCAATTTATCAATTTATTTACTCCTATGCAAAAATTTGACATTTTTAGCATCAAAGCTACCCTTTCCATGTGCTTGTCAGAAACCTTGCTGCACATATATTTCTGCGGTGCTAAAATATAAAACATATATTTTAAAGTTTTGTAATTGCAATTATATATGCTTAGTAAATTGTAGTGAAATATGGAGAGACAACCAATTTTCTTTGCTTAGTGGAATTTCGATTGATTCCAGACGAAGTAATAGTGTGCCATTTTAGTAGTGCCCCATCTGATGATATGATAACACCTCTCAGAGCATGCTTGCTTCACAAACAAGGCTTTGCAGGTATAGTACTTTAGCAGGTCCTCGAAACCTTATGAATTCTACTCTGCCTATATTTTGATTTTTCTTTCCTCTGTCTGGACTTGCTAGTGTAGTTTAATTTTCAAATAAAGTTCTTTTTTTTTTCTGTCGGATAAATAAAGTTGTTCTTGCGGTGTCATTCAACACATCTAAAGTGATTAAAAAGGTTGTTACTGAATAAGAGGGCCAAGTGCGAGCACCTAGGGCCCTACATCATGATCCATAAAAAATTGTTACGGAAGGCTAAACTATTAAGAGAAGAAGGATCATGAATAGCTAAACATAAGAGGCCATTTTTTCCATTTTCATTTGTGCAAGGTTTTATTTTGTATAATCTTTGGGAAGTTAATAGTGTAAAGTATAATTAAGCTTGAAATTATGGTTGTCAATGACCTGAGCCAAACCTCCGCTTAAGCTCGAACAAAGTTCATATAGTTGTGCTTAAGTTCGGTTCAAATGATTTTCTCAAGCTTGAATTCTGCTCGGCTCGTTTAAGCTTGCCTTTGAAACAAGCTCGAACTTAAAATTGAAAACGAATCAAGAAATTACACATAAACATGCAAGTTGTAACTACTGAAATATACGCATAAAGTATGAACCAGTTTGCAAATTGTAATGCGATTTATTTCAGCTAAAAAATTCATACCAATAAATTCCATGTCATTTTGAATGATAAGGAAGTAATTAATCTTATCTTTATACAATTCTAATCATCATATCCTGAAAAATATATCTTCTCTTCACTTATTATGAGCCTATGACACTTGATGGTCCCGGCTTGTGTTCTGGGAACAGAGAAAAATATATCCAGGCTGTTGGGCTTGCCAAGACAAATTTCTCTAGTTATGAGACACAAAAACATTGTACTCAACGATGGCATGTCCCGTTTTAGGATCAAACCAAACAGTATGTGCTAAGACATAGCCACGAGCAAACCTAAAGAGCCCTGTGCCTCCAACGATCGGCATCTCTCTCACATCGTTCATCACCGGATTCCTCCCAATAACGCTAAGGGCTGGTTTGGTATTGCTGTGCTTTGAAAAAAAACTGTTGTGAGAATAAGCGGCTGTGAAATAAATCAGCAGAGTGTTTGGTAAACTTTTTTGTAAAAGTGCTTTTGGAAAAAAAAGCAGTCTGATAGTGTTTGGTAAATTTTTATGTAAAACAACTGTGACTGTGTGAAATGACCAAAAAGGATATAAAATGAGTTTTTTTTTTTTTTAAACCTGAAAACCCACAAAGTCTCTCTCGGATCGGTTTTTCCCCCGTCGGAGGAAACCATTTCTAAGGTTTGGAGATCCCCAAATTGGGGTTTGCGAGGTCAGATTTAAAGGATGCCCAACGCCTGGGAGCTTCATTCGAATTAGAAAATTTCCAGTCCTCTACCCACAACCCAGAAAACCCTAAACCCAGAAAACCCTAAAGGCTGGCGCCCTCACCGTCTTCAACCGCACCCTTGCAAGGACAGGAAGCATTTCGACAGAAAACCCACAAACCCAGAATACCCACAACCCAAATCTGACGTCCGCTCCGTCCTCCTCGACCCCACCATTGGCGCACTCTCTGGATTCCGCCCCGGAGGCATCCTCGTCGACATGACCACCTTCGAACCCTCCCTCGCTATCGAGATCTCCTCCCTCGCTGTCGACACAATCTTCGCCCACAAGTCCGACGTGGGTCTTTTCATTAAAGGAGCATTGTAGCTTCGTGTGCTTTGAAAAAAAACCAGTTTTCCAAAGCAGCAAATAGCTGCTTTAGCTTTTCCTTTGACTTCAGCTTATTCTCACATCAGCTTCCAAAATAAGCCATTTTTTTTAGTTTACCAAACACCTAAAACCCTCACAGTTTTTTTTCATAGGTGTTTTTTTTTAAGCACCTCACTCCCAAACCACACCTAATGCTACTCCCCTTGTACTTGCCTTCGACAAAAACCAAATTCATGACCATGAGGAATGCAAATTTATCACGTCCTTGTGAAGCCACTGAGTAAAACCCTTGTGCTCTTCCAACGATCTTAGAGGTGGGATCTTGCTTTTCGGTCAGTGCATCATCAATCATGGTGCTACGTACCGAAGGTGGTAAGGGTTCTGTTTGGTGGCCCAGTAATTCTAATAGCACTAGGGTTTTTGCCACTGAGAATGTCATGGAAATAAAAGTGAAGGTGGCTCGTTTTTGCTGGTTGCTGGGCTGTAATGAATTGCCTAACTTGAACTCCTTCGTTGGAGTAGAACAAGATAGAGCAGAGGGTGATGAGACTAGTGAAGTACAGAAATGAAGACATATTACTAGATCTCTACTCTCTACTCTCCACTTTCTTAGGGTGTTAATGAGTCAATATTATACTATATATTTTACCCTTATCTTAGTATTAATTTATTGGTTATTTTGGTAGAATTTTGATACTTTGTTATGTATTTTCAATGTAGGACATTCGACTTCCTCTGAAGCAAAAAGTGACCAAACGGATGAATTTTGGTGTGATTCTAATTGGAGGATGTTCGTGAATCTTTCAAGATGATTGTGTCAAAATTTTAGATTTTTCTAGCAAGCCGTTTGATCGTGACAATAAAATAAAGACCCAGCGCGCAACGTTCCTAGATTGACGTTTCTAGACGTTTTGGGTATTTTGAAGGTCAAGATGGTATATTTTGAGAAAGATTCCTTCTGAGGATTTGTTAGGAACATGTCAAGCTTTAAAAGAGACATTTTGAGACAAATCGGAGTTGATTTGGTTGGTCAAAAGATGGATTTTCTCTGCAGTCCAAATTTCAGTTTAATAAAAAAACCTTTTATTTCCTAGTTATCTTATTCTATTATGTTTCCTAGTTTTTAGAAGACCTTTTCTAATAAGGATTTTATTTCGTAGTAGTATAAATAAGGCTATTTAGCCATTAGAGATAAAAGAGAAGAACACATATAATTTGGAGAATGCACTACTTTGTATTTCAAGGTGTTTTCTATCCATATTCTTAATAATATTTTGTTTTATGATTGTTAATAACTAGTTTCGTTTGCTAGGGTAAGGCCACAAGCCTTCATAGTAGTATAAATAAGGCTATTTAGCCATTAGAGATAAAAGAGAAGAACACATAATTTGGAGAATGCACAACTTTGTATTTTCAAGGTGTTTTCTATCCATATTCTTAATAATATTTTGTTTTATGATTGTTAGTAACTAGTTTCCTTTGCTAGGGTAAGGCCACAAGCCTTAGCAAGAATATGTAGTCTCTTTTCAATTTACTTGTGATATTATGTATGCAAGTTTTGAATTATTAATCACCGGTTTAAATTATCTAATTGTCTTGATGATTGACCACCATAAGGATATTTAGAAAAGTAAATTGATGCAATTTGGCGGTGGATTGTCCCTGAAATTGACTAAGGCTTCTTGTGGTTAATATGTGTAACTTCTTAGGATGGATAACACATCTTAAGGGTTATATGGTTTTTCAGAAGGTTTTCACAAAACTTAATGAGTCTTGCATGTTCACAGTAGATCTAGACGCCACAGACAAGTTGCATGTTAGATATACGTTGTTGGAGGTTCCAAGTAGGGCATATTTTAGGAAAACATAACCTTCAAAATATGCATGGGTAATTCATAAGTAATTGGAAGAACTACGTGTGATTGTTATGGTGACGGCGGAATCCTAGTGCTCAAATTTATTTTCAAAACTATTTTCTTTTGTTTTCTTTACTTTGCCAATTTATTTAATTATTTTTAATTAAATTCGTTTTTAATATTTTAGGTCATAAAATCAAGCTCTTCCAAACTTTGTTTTCAAATTATTAATTAAGATTTGGTATTTAAATAAATTATTCATTAAATCCCTGTGGAGAACGACATTGCTCGAGCTGCTATACTACGATAACTTTGTACTCTTGTAAGTATTTTTAAATGTTTTTATCCCTACTTTTGCAGGTGGTAAAATCCATATTAAGAAATTGGAACCCACGACCACAAGGTTATTGTGAATTTCTTAATAGGGATTTTACCATTTGCAAAAGTAGGGATAAAAACACTTCAAAATACTTACAAGAGTACAAGGTTATCATAGTATAGCAGCTCGAGCAAGGCCGTTCTCCACAGGGATTTAATGAATAATTTATTTAAATACCAAATCTTAATTAATAATTTGAAAACAAAGTTTGGAAGAGGTTGTTTTTATGACCTAAAATAGTAAAAACGAATTTAATTAAAAACAATTAAATAAATTGGCAAAGTAAAGAAAACAAAAGAAAAGAGTTTTTGAAAATAAATTTGAGCACTAGGGTTTCCCCGTCACTTTAACAATTATATGTAGTTCTTCCAATTACTTATGAATTACCCATGCATATTTTGAAGGTTAGGTTTTCCAAAAATATGCCCTACTTGGAACCTCTAACATAGAACGTATATCTAACATGCAATCCATATGTGGCGTCCAGATCGAATGTGAACATGCAAGACTCATTAAGTTTTGTGAAAACCTTCTGAAAAACCATATAACCCTTAAGACGTGTCGTCCATTTTAAGAAGTTACACACATTAACCACAAGAATCCTTAGTCAATTTCAGGAACAGCCCTCCGCCAAAATTGCATTAAATTACTTTTCTAAATATCTTAACGGTGGCCAATTATCAAGACAATTAGATAATTTAAACCGGTGATTAATAATTTAAAACCTGCATGCATAATATCACAAGTAAATTGAAAAGAGACAACATATTCTTGCTAAGGCTCGTGGCCTCGCCCTAGCAAACGAAACTAGTTACTAACAATCATAAAACAAAATATTATTAAGAATATGAATAGAAAACACTTTGAAAATACAAAGTAGTGCGTTCTCCAAAATATATGTGTTCTTCTCTTTTATCTCTAATGGCTAAATAACCTTATTCATACTACTACGAAATAAAATCCTTATTAGAAAGGTATTCTAAAAACTAGGAAACTTAATAGAATAAGATAAATAGGAAATAAAAGGTTTCATATTTAAACTGAAATTTTGACTGCAGAGAAAATTCATCTTTTGACCAACCAAATCAACTCCGATTTGGTTTCAAAATGTCTCTTTTTAAATCTTGAGACGCTCCTAACAAATCCTCAGAAGTAATCTTCCTCAAAATATACCATATTGACCTTCAAAATACCCAAAACGTCCAAAAATGTCAATCTTGAAAAGCTGTGTGCTAGGTTTTTATTTCATTGCCACAGTCAAACGGTTTGGTAGAAAAATCTCGAATTTTGATACAATCATCTTGAAAGAATCACAAACATTCTCCAATTGGAATCACTCCAAAATTCATTCGTTTGATCACTTTTTGCTCTAGGGGAAGTCGAATATCCTACATTGAAAATACATAACAAAGTATCAAAATTCTACCAAAATAACCAATAAATTAATACTAAGATAATGGTAAAATATATAGTATAATATTGGCTCATCAAAATACCCCCAAACTTCGCTTTTTTGCTTGTCCTCAAGCAAAACAAAACTAGAAAACAAAATAAAAACTAACAAACTAAAAAACTTTATTAAAACTCAACTAAGACAAAATTTTCATGTTCAAGTTGCCAAGCATAGAAAATGTTAAAAATTAGAATATCTTCCAAAAGTTTCAACCAATCCCACCACAGAGTCTAAGGAATTCATGAACTTCCTTTAGTGTAAAGTGAACCAACATAGTTAAGGAGACTCGATTAAAATCTCTACCTATTGTCCTCTTTATTTAACAGTTCACACATAATAGCTTGATTTTTTTTTTCTAGTAACAGTAGTGGCCGTGCAATGCTAGTTCTCTTAAGTTTTTGATCCAACCCATGTAGCGAGCTGTAAGTCAATGACTTCTAAACCACAAAGGCTTTAGGGCACTAGGTGTAGAACACCCCCAAGGACTTATTAACTCGAGCTGAAAAGGCTACGAAACCAATTAACTACCCTGCCCCGTGCCAAAACTTCACCATTTGACACGAGAATCACTGCGGATCAGGCAGGACTGGCCCGGTTATTAAGTGAAGCCTCGAGTGGAACAATTATTACTTTATTTGTAACACATACTAAACTTCACTTCACTAAGAACAAAAATTAAAAGGGAACTTTAACGAAAAGCTCCCAGTACTGTTCACTTTAATGAAAAACCACATTTTTACACTAAAAAGTCAATTATGGTACTATTCACTTTACCCTTTATTTTGTCCTTATCGTTAAAACTCAAAGTTTTCAAGCCCTTTTCATTAGTTTTTTTTTTAAAAATTAAAATACACTTAGACTAAAAGTAAGTAGTTCAATCTCACTCCCCACAAACCATGTTGGTGTGAATGTGCAAATTTTCAAAATATAACTCATGAATTAGTGCCTAAGCAACGATAAATAAAAAATACTCTATTGTGGGATTAATCTTCACCATGTCCATTTGTTCTAATGTTTAAAATAATCTATGGATATTAAATTAAAAAGAATGAACATTTTTATTTGACTCAAAAATTAAAAATCTAAAACTTCTTATTTCCCACCCCCCAAACTTATATCACACATTATCCTCAAGGTGTGAAAAATAGAAGAAAAGCAAAAATAGACTAAAACATCAAAATAAAAATAAACAACCACCTTAACTAACTAGAAATAGAAAGACGAAAAATAAAACTACAAAAAAAAAAAACACAAAAACACAAAAAAACAAACAGAACAAACTATAAAATGATACAAAACGAAAAATAAAATAAAGGGAATGGAAGTGGACACACCTGGGTTCGAACCTGGGACACGAGAGCATCAAAGTAAGCGCTGAAAAATAAAAACCCAAAAGTGCTGCGTGCTGGACTCGAACCCGTGACCTGCTACATGAGGCGCTGAGCCTTTTACAAACCACATGTACAAGCCTTCACGTGACAAGAAACCTTGCAATTCACTATTTGACCTCAGTTATCAGCTCCCATGTGTCTTATCCTTATTTCTAACTTAGAGCTGCTGTTCCTCTCTCTCTAGAATCTTCAAAACCATTATTTCTAACACCAGAGCCATCATCTAACTCGAGTCCAATCTTCTTTCTCTGTTCATTGCTCTGAAGGCAAAAATGGAGATCTACCCCCAAACTTCCGATCATGATGTCGACCCACTCAGAGGTAAAAATGTCTGATCCTCTAAATTCAATTCCAAGTCTAACCTTGGATTAGGGAAAATTAGAAGATGAATGGCTGATGTATGTGTGCTCCCTGTGTAGGAGCTGCAGAATGCCGACCCAACATAGCAAAGAACGTTAAATGTCTGGAGCCTATCTGATGTGGAAAAGAAAGGTATAGGTATGTATCCCTTCAACTCTTATTTGTGTGTCGTAGGAATATGATTTTCGTCTGCTCATAATTGTCCTCTGTGCTTTTTGCGTGTCTTCGTTGATGTATGTTGAGCAAAAATATATGCATATGGATGGCCTTGATGACTGTGTTCTTCTCTATGCTGCTTGGATCCCCACCCCCAAACTTGTATGTAATTATATTCTTAATGAAATGTGAGAGAAGGTGAGTGAAGGGGAATTCCAAGCAGTGTAGAGCCTTCTTTGGGTAGGTTTCTGAAACTCAAGACTCCAGTTCGTATTCCTTTTTAAAATTCTGCACTTTAATGTTGATGTTGAATGCAAATGCAACCTGCAAAAACACACATTAAAAATCTAATTAGACTAAAACCAAAAATAAGATACTGATTAAAAACAATTGTTGTTTTTGTGTTTTTAAATTTACGGATTTTTTTTTTAAATTTTGTGATAAAGAATAAAATGTAGATAATAAAATGAATAAAATAAAAAATAAGAGTTTAGAAAAAATGGTTTGTCTTCCAATCAGCACTTTAGTTAACGTCTATAGCTAGATGGATTGGAATGAGATTTGTGATCACGTCACTTGTCTCGTAGAGTTAACCATTCCTTGATAGCATCATACGGCAACAGAATGTACGGAGTGACTTGATGGTTATCAATTATGCATCTGAATTCATTGGTTGAATCCCTGATGTCCACCTTTCTGTGTTGAATGACTTTTTGTAATCAAATAGGGCCCTTCCCATATAGGCTTATGTTTTTGTCGAGCTGCCTTGAACCTCGTATTTAACACCCATAATTTTTGTACTCGCCGAATTTCTTGACGAAGGATTGCGTTGTCGTTAAGCGCTTCATGCTTCCCCTTATAGAATTTAGCATGCTCATAAAATTGGCCCCGACATTCTTGAAATTCGATGGGTTCTACTGTTGGCTTTTTTATTTCAGCAACCAAAACTGTTTTATCAATAGCCTGCCTTGTATCCAAAATGGTTTGAGTGCTCAAAATCTGATCATGGGAATCATCAAATCCTGACTTGTTTTGAACAACACTGTCCAACCCGTCAGTTTCAACGTGTTCCTGCAGCTTTGTGGGTTGCATTGTAGCCTCTTGAAAGAGAATGTGTGGTATATAGACTTGGATAGTGGCAGATTTTGTTGAAATTTCATGATCAGTAATTTCCTCCATTGGGCTTTAGAGTCATCGCCTGGTGATTCTTCAATTCTGGCGTCTTCCTACATATGGTCATAACCTGCTGCACATTGGGACGTTTGAATTACACACCATTTATTTGAATCTTGTGGCACATTAGGCTGCTCAAAAGGCTATTGCGTACCTGCCCATCTAAAACTAGGATGCTTTTTCAAATCTGGAGCGTAGTAATCAAAAGTGGGATCGTTCCAATGTCAATGTGAGTCGTTCCTCATATTAATATGCTCCTTCACATAGTCTGGAAAATATTTCCTTTTAGGGCATTGCAAAATTTCATGGGTATTTGAACAGCAAAAAGCACAAATTATAAGTTTAAATTCATAGAAACCCTGTTTTGCGAATGAGACCCATAAAGATGGTCCTCCTGGTGATGGTGGTTTCCAGCCCATCATTGAATTGCTCCCAAAATCGACAGATTGTAACATGGTATTTTCTTGTAGGAATCCAAGCCAATCCGTTGCTGCTGAAGAATCCCATAAAGATGGTGGTTCGCAGCCCATCAATGCAGTGCTCTCAAAAATCAACAAACCAACCTAAAAAAATAAAACCAGCAATTAAATAAAATAAAATAAATCAGCCTAAAAAAATTAAAATCAGCAATTAAATAAATAAATAAAAATATGTATGTACAATAATAATTAACTAAGAATATGATAAACACAAATTATTTAAAACAATCCCCGGTAATGGCGTCAATTTCTTGATAGGGATTTTTACTACCCGCAAAAGTAGGAATAAAAACACTTAAAAATACTTGTTTGAGCTGCTATAACCTTGTACTCTTGAGTGTTTTATCCCTACTTTTGCAGGTGGTAAAAATCCCTATCAGGTGTTATTCTCCTATGAGTGTGTGCGAGTGATGATACATAGTAGAGCTTTGTGGCCATTTTAAAGGAGTCCGGGCAGGATGCAAATGGTAAAATGAAACAGAAAACCCTAAATGTCGTTATCTGTGCTCCATATTTGAATTGGTTGATTCATTTTCAAGCAACCACTGCTTTGTGTGGCCTCCACTTTTGTGATGCCTTATGTGGCAAGCAATTTTATCTCGGGCAATTGGCTAAAATGATGAGAAAATAATTTTCGATTGTCAAACTAATCAACGCTCGTATATACTATCCTTATAAACCTATTATTCATTTATATAAACTCATCGTCTTTTTTAGATTGATTAGTTCAACACTTATATACTGTGAAAGCATTAGAATAGGCCAATTTCTCTTTTTATCTTTTGAGTCCCAACAACGACTATTTGCATGCTCAACATTGCTATAGTAATACTTGATTGAGAAGGTTCAGTTAGTCGAACTTGATTTCCTCGCAGTAGGCTCCTCGGACAGTCTATCGCGAGGAATTTAATTTCATTGTTGGTGCATCTATTTTGCGACAAAATATTTCATCCCTAAAGTTCATTATTTTGTTGCCAAAAGATGTTTTCTCACTATAGGATTAAAAAAAATTGAATTTTTTTGAGAGTTTCCACAAGAGAAAAAAAATTTCCTCGCAACGGGCATGTTCAGTGTGGAAAAGGGCATTGCGAGGAAATTATTATTTCCTCTTCCGTAAAACAACTAAAGGGGTGGATATTCCCAACTTCGTAAACCAGCTTACCTCTTTAAGTTCTCCCATTAGGTGCGAGCGTTAAGGGCAATGGCCAACATAACACGCCTGCAGTGATGTTGACTTGAAAAAGAGAAAGAGAGCTGAGACAGAGAGATGTGAGAGAGAGTGGAATTGGGTGGGAGATGAGCGTGGCTGGAGGGGATATGGTGGTTGCGAAGAGTGGCAGAGGTGGAGGTCAAAATGGAAATAGGTTTGGAAAGCAAGGGGAAAAACTGGGTGTAACTTTTCTGTGAGATTTGTGATGTGGGGAATATCGGAGACGGGAAGAAGAGTCATATCATAAAGAAAACTGTATTACAACACCAAGGTAATCACTTACCAGACGATGACATCACCACTCGAGAACTAGGGTTCTTCTGCAACTCTACACTCCTGGAAACGACTCAATCAAATGGGGTTGAATATCTGATTGCTTGTGTATAAATATAGTGAGAGAGCAGTGACCTAGCTTTATACCATAAGCGATGGAGTTCAATAAGGACACTTTCCATCATGTGATCCTTAGCAAACTAACCATATCACCGCAAGTAAGTGGCCTTTTACTACAATGGTGGAAAGATGTTGAACCCTTACATGACGACGTGGGTTCAAATCTCGTCAGTGGCTAATCAAACATCTTATCTAATAAAATCTATCATTTGACAAAACCATATCACTGCAAAACCCTAGTAAACATATCAACTACATACAGTCCTAGTTCTATCGAGATTGCTTGAGGCTAACAAGTAACAACCCTAGTATACAACTCCGATAAGCCATACCACATTGTTAAACATAATCTCCTTGTCATTCCAAATTACCTTTACACGATAAACAAGTGTTTGCTCAATCTCTACAACTCCGATAAGCCATACCACATTGTTAAACTTAATCTCCTTATCATTCCAAATTACCTTTACACGATAAACAAGTGTTTGCTCAATCTCTATAGAACTTACAGGAGTCTGATTCTTGTTTTGGTTAACTTTTTAACTCTTAGTCGCTACGAGCCTACAACGAGGAAAGAGATATTTCCTCGCCAACAATCCGTCGACAGTGAGAAAACGTTTTCTCACAAAATATTTTAGGGGTTTTTGAACATTAGTCCTTGAAAAAGATTAAAATTAAAAAAAAAACCTGATGCTAGATTAAATATTCAATTTAATCCCTTGAGTGTACTTTTATCAAAATTTACATTCAATTTTTCTTATTTAATGTGTATTTTTATTTAATCTCTCCATATTAAATTTTAATTTTATTAATATGCACATATTTAATTTTTTTTAATTAGAAATGATTGTAAATGAGAAAATATTAAAAAAAATTGTGATACAAAAATATATAGATACATAAGTGTACAGAAATGATTGTGCCAAAATATATAAAATTGACTTTTTTGTACCAAAATATTTGTACATACATGATTGTACCGAAATATATTATAATGAATCTAAATGTATGTACTGAAATGTATTATATTGAATTAATGTACCTAAATGTCAATACCGAAATGTATGTACCAAAATGTACGAACCTAAATGTCAATACCGAAAATGTATGTACCTAAATATCGATACCAAAATGTATGTACCTAAATGTATTTACCGAAATAATAATTGAATTAATGTACCTAAAAGTCAATACTCAAATATGTGTATCAAAGTGTACGTAACGAAATGCATTATATTGAATCAATGTAACTACATGTTTGTACCAATAGATATACCAAAATATTCAAATGTATTAATGTACCTAAATGAAGAACATACAAAATTGTTATCGGAATATATATTATAAAAAATATTGTTGCCTAAATGTAGACATTAAAATATATTACAATGAATGAAATAAAAATTAAATTTAAATGTAATTAATACATTAAAATAAAAATAAAAAGATAGAATAAAACATCAAAATACAACTAATAAATTATATGATTAAATGTGCTAGGGACTAAAATTGGATTTTAATCTTACATATGGTTATAATCTAAAACTCATCTTTTTTAGAGATTAAAATGAAGTTTTCTAAATATTTTAATTTCTCACTATAGTAAGGACAAGTTTAGTGATCAAAATCAGGTCTGTTTTTGCGAGGAATGGATAATATCCTTGCCAAAAGTGCTCTATAGACGACTTTGTTGTAGTGAGTCGAGCTAGATTTAATTAACGAAAGCTCTTTCGTTAAAGAAACGAGAACATCTTAGAGAAAAACCGATTAATAGTTGCATGGTTGGCCTAGCTACGTTTAGTAAAAATATATGTAAAATCACATACATGATCTTTCATCATTTCAAGGAAACTTCTAAAGTTATAATATATATAGAATCTAGCTCGAGCTGTTGAGAGAAAATATGAGTTGTTGACGAGCTTTTTGAGTTGATAATATCAATGTTCAAGTTTTGAAAAAATGGTTGAATATTTAAACACTTTTCATATTTTTTCCAGTTGAAGATTAGTGAAAGGATGGAAAACTGTTATTACATTAATTTGCACCCATTTTGAAGCTCTTGAGGTTTCTTCAGTGGAGAGAGAGAGAGAGATAGA